TTAACTCTTTAGCAGATGTTAACTCTTTAGTTGACGTTAACTCTTTAACAGATGTTAACTCTTTAGTTGACGTTAACTCTTTAGCAGACGTTAACTCTTTAGCTGACGTTAACTCTTTAGCTGACGTTAACTCTTTAGCAGACGTTAACTCTTTAGCTGATGTTAACTCTTTAGCTGACATTAACTCTTTAGCAGACGTTAACTCTTTAGCAGATGTTAACTCTTTAGCAGACGTTAACTCTTTAGCAGATGTTAACTCTTTAGCTGACGTTAACTCTTTAGCAGACGTTAACCCTGTAGCAGATGTTAACTCTTTAGCTGACATTAACTCTTTAGCAGATGTTAACTCTTTAGCAGACGTTAACTCTTTAGCAGATGTTAACTCTTTAGCTGACATTAACTCTTTAGCAGATGTTAACTCTTTAGTTGACGTTAACTCTTTAGCAGATGTTAACTCTTTAGTTGACGTTAACTCTTTAGCAGATGTTAACTCTTTAGCTGACATTAACTCTTTAGCAGATGTTAACTCTTTAGCTGACGTTAACTCTTTAGCAGACGTTAACTCTGTAGCTGACGTTAACTCTTTAGCAGACGTTAACGCTTTAGCAGATGTTAACTCTTTAGCTGACATTAACTCTTTAGCAGATGTTAACTCTTTAGTTGACGTTAACTCTTTAGCTGACGTTAACTCTTTAGCAGATGTTAACTCTTTAGCAGACGTTAACTCTTTAGCAGACGTTAACTCTTTAGCTGACGTTAACTCTTTAGCAGACGTTAACTCTTTAGCTGATGTTAACTCTTTAGCTGACATTAACTCTTTAGCAGACGTTAACTCTTTAGCAGATGTTAACTCTTTAGCAGACGTTAACTCTTTAGTTGACGTTAACTCTTTAGCTGACGTTAACTCTTTAGCAGACGTTAACTCTTTAGCTGATGTTAACTCTTTAGCTGACATTAACTCTTTAGCAGATGTTAACTCTTTAGCAGACGTTAACTCTTTAGCAGATGTTAATTCTTTAGCTGACATTAACTCTTTAGCAGATGTTAACTCTTTAGCAGACGTTAACTCTTTAGCAGACGTTAACTCTTTAGCTGATGTTAAATGTCTGAAGTCTCTGAAGCTGTTTCACGATGAACACGTTGAACAGTGTGGACACGTCTGTGTGTGTCAGTTCCAGGACGGGGTTTGGACCCTCAGCACCACCGTGTGTGACGGCCTGATGACCATGGACGTGATGCTGTGCACGGCCTCCATCTTCAACCTGTGCGCCATCAGCATCGACAGGTCAGTGTTCACCTGCACAGGTACGCCTGAACACACGTCTGCAGCACAACGGCACGCTAACGTGCGCTGCAGATGTAGCGCTTTGATTCTGCCCCGTCGCAGAGACGGGGGCCTGGGCCCCATAGAGGAACGTTACTGGGTGGGGGGGTTGTTGGGTCAAATGAAAGAGGAACATTCCTGACCGTGTTCAGGAAGCCCAGCTGCAGACACTGAACCAGCAGGAGCTCCAACATCTTTCTCCACCCCCCACCCCACCCCCCCCCCCCCACCCTCCGCGCTATCGTTTCTCTTTCAGGTGCGTGAGTCACTTGAGGGACACGCGGTCATGTGACACAACAACAGCTCATTTATCTTTTTTACAAAATATGAAACCATTTCAAGTGCTGGGACCAGTGTCCATACTCGGTGCCATGAAAAGAGGCCACGGCTGGTTTACGCTCGTGCAGCTCTGAGCGGTTTTGATTTGAACTGAAACTCTGACGGACAACAAGCTGAACACAGAGGCCGCCCCGACGTTTAAACACCTGATCAGCCACAGACACAAATCTGACCCGCTGGAAGCTGCTGATCCAATTAGCTCAACGAGTGAGCACGGACCGAACAGCTCACTCAAGAGTTCAGCAAGTGTGTGCTAGAGCTTCCACCGATTGTTGAACTCATGATGCCAGAGAACGTTTCAATAAATGTCTGCGCTAAAGTTGTAAACCAAATGATGTTGGAATGCAAAGAACATGGGGGGGTCTGGTACACCTCTCCCAGAAGATTTTGAATAAAGTAGATGCCATTTCCTGCATTCTGGTGTATTTTCTGGAGCATGACACTCTGGACTCACCGCAGCACCTTCAGTTATAGACTGAGAGCACGAGGTGCTCCACAGAACAACACAGGAAGTCCTTCAAACTTTCAACTCCTCCCCCTTTCTACACAGAGGACAATAAAATTAATCCTGCACCAAAATAAACTCTTCAATGTTTCTGTTTGACCTGTTTAGATCTTAATGATGGTATTTTTATGTTCTGTTATTTTGTAGATCTTGTGTGATTCCTTGTCTGTTCCTTTGTACTGAAACTCTGGAACAATAATTTCATGTAGGATCAAGAAAGTTGTATCTTATTGTCTTATTTGAACGAGTTGTTAAACATTTACATTTATCTACATTTATAAAATGTAGGTAAATGTAGTCTCTAAAATAACTATTCTAGAGAGCAACAAGAAATAGCCTGACCAACAGCTCCCCTTGTGTGAACAAGGAGAGCTGTTCTGTCACACACCACCTGCTCCAGTGTCTCCACCACCCTCATGTGCTTCAATTCTCCGTTGTTTAGTTGTTTAGTTGTTTAGTTGTACAATGAGGATTTCTTTTAGGAAAGTAAATTGGCCTGTCAAAGTTCAACTTGAACTTTGTTGGATTTTATACCTGGATTATTGAGCATGAACTTTGATGTTTTGAACCGCTTTAACTATGGCTCCCTCAGGGGAGAGGGCGGGCCCCAGAAACCATCTTATCACCAGAAAACTGGTTGGCCCACTATGTGAGTGTGCTGCTTGTGGACTCAGTTTTTTGGTGGCTTCTTGGACTAATGAAGTCCTTTGGATGACAGATGAAATGTCTCAGCAAAAAAAGAAACCGTCCAGATGACCTGACTGAACTTTGTTAAACTGGACGGTCTTTTCAACATTTTGATCGCTCTTATTTTGACAAATTTGCGTCATCGTTTTGATACATGATGTACATTACATGATTACCCATCAAACATTTCTCTCGTATTTTTAATAAATAATCAAAATTTTATTAATGACCCACTTAAACTGTAAAATTGATTTTCAGTTTAATTGTTCTTATTTAATTATATTTTTGTTATTTTAATAAAATTGTCCATGAGTGAACTTTTAGGGGCGGAGCTTTTTTAAGGGTAGAACCAGAAATACTTCCTTGAAGGAGCAGCTCAGATGTGACGTTAGGAAGCTCGTTATGTTTAAAGTGGGTGTTGATGTCATTATTTTCAGATAACATGTCCAATATAAGTTTTATTTGTTCAAGGCAGTCACATGTTTATAACTTTATAATTAGTAAGCCTGAGAGTTCCCTGATCCAAGTAAACAGTTACCAGAACCTACCCTGTCAAAATAAGAGAGTTCCCAGATCTGGATTTGGTAGGAATAGCTACACAATGGCAGGTCAAGAATCACATGTTAAGATAGAAATAGTATCAAATGAAAACTATTCAATTTTAACAATTCATTTAAGGAAATTAGGTCAGTTTGTCCTCTAGTAGTCTAAGTCTATAGCAGCATAACAAGCCGACCCTAACTATAGGATTTATGAAAAAGGAAAGTCTTAAACTGGACAATGTGTCAGCCTCATGGACAGAAACTGGAAGTTGGTTCCACAAGAGAGGAGCCTGAGAACTGGAAGATCTTCCTCCCATTCTGCTGCTGGAAACTCTAGGAACCACAAGTAAACCTGCAGTCTGAGAGAGAAGTGCTCTGTTAGTAAAATATGGAACAATAAGATCTGTAATATAAGATGGAGCTAGGTTGTTGAGAGCTTTGTAGGTTAGAAGAAAGATTTTGAATTCTATTCTGGATTTGACAGGGAGCCAATGGAGAGAAGCTAAAACTAGAGAGAGATGATCTCTCCCAGTAACTCCAGTTAAGACTCTGGCAGCAGCATTTTGGATCAACTGAAGACGTTTTAAAGAAGTATTTGGACACCCAGATAATAAACCATTGCAATAGTCCAGTCTAGACGTGACAAATGCATGGACCAGTTTTTCTGCATCATCTTTAGATCAGATGTTTCTAATGTTAGTGATATTACGCAGGTGGAAGAAGGAGGTTCTAGTAACGTTTTTAATGTGGGGGATAAAAGACATGATCAAAAGTAACACCAAGATTTTTAACATTAGAGCTGGAGGACAGATTAATGCATCTAAGGAGGGAGAAAGACTGAAACATTCATTCCTAAGGTGCTCAGGTCCAAAAACCAAAACCTCAGTCTTGTTAGTGAACATTTTTAGTTCTGGACTGGAAGTGAACAGATAATGTTAGTAAACCTAAATGTTTTTGGTGCAAGATATTCAAGTGTGCAGGAGTTACTCTGTGGAGAAGAACAAAGGGAGAGTTTTTTATATTTTTCTTGTCTGAGGCAGCACAAAGTGATGGATCCTGGAGAGTGACAAAGTGGTGGCTAATGGTGGCCAAGGCCACCATAGATTAATCTTTGGTACCCAATCCTCACCCTAATCATTTGAGAAAAGTATACTTTAAAGTAGTATAGAAACTAGAAATCATAGTTTCCTCAAATGATAGATTGTTTACATATTTATGTATACTGGTAGCCATCTTGGATTTTTACTTGGTCACCCAATTTTCAAAAGGACTATTTCTTATGACTAGATGCAGCCACACACCAAAGTGGAAGTCAGTACTTCATGTATTTTTCAAGTTATCATGTTCACAAAATGGGCGAATAGACAGATGGACAAACAGACGGATGAATGGAAGGTATTTCCAGTTGTCCTCTTCGCTCCATGATGGGGGACAGCAAACTGTACAGCTCAGTCCCAAACAAGATGCTTCCTCTTTAGAACAGATATGGTTTGGTCATCAAAAGTCTGACTAGAAACCAAAGACTCAACAGAACAAACCTCTGCTAGAGAGATTTTATGAACAAAAACAAAATGAGCCATCCAGTGCTGAAAATAAACCACAGTCAAACATCGGAACAGTCTTTCATGGCCATCCATGTATTCAATTCAACCTTTATTTAGACAGATCAATCACATTGAGCCTCGGAGACTCATTTTCAAGTGAGACGTGTAGACCGACAAAAACGTAGTGAAAGTGACACGTAGGAAATTGGAGGCAACAAATATTCCTATCAAACTCTTTCTTCTTGGCTGAGAAGAAAGACCCTGTAATGAAAAGAACACCCCGCACATGCAGCACATGGTGACGTAGACATTCCACAGAGTGAGGGGAGATGACAAGGGCGGTGAGAGTATCCAAGGATGCTCCCGGAGGCACTGAAAGGAGTTCTGATAAGGATGGAATAATCCGCTGAGATCTGCAAACATTCTCGAGGGTTTCAGGGAATGGCCAAGGACAATGCCAGTGAGAATCCAAGAGTCCTGAAATGATGAAACACTGTTTATTCTGCTGGTTCCCTCTGGTTGATCAATGGACTTACACGATGGGAGGGAGGGGGGCAGAGCATCAGATTACATGTTCCCCAAGTGAATTGTGATAAGGTGGCCTGCAAGGACAGCCAAGGGAGCCAAATTCAGATAAACAACGTTTGTTTTGAAGTCAGGAAGAACTTTAATCTGTCTTGAGTCTTTGCTGGTCTCACATAGATTCTGAAAGGTCCAAATTAAGTGGACATGCTGCTGATCCGTGCCTGAGAATATTCCCTGAGATTTGATCCATCTAGGGGTCGTATATGGCCTGCGATTCTCACAAATCACAGCCAGTTCACGATCCAGTCCGCTAAGCAATAGAGTCTGGGTGCACGAGACACGGCGCAAACCTTCACATAGGCGGCAGCCTGACCAGGCCGGATGAGCTGCAGCCGTCTTCTTTGTATGTTGATAAACCAGGAACCAGACAATTCCAAAAACAGGAAACCTGTTGTCATAAATCCAATTATGCAGTTTTGGCGTCCTCAGTCAACAGCAGAGATAGACACATCACATTCCGCCTCCTCCAGAGACATGTCCAGCTGCATACATGTCGTCCGGGCAGTTCAGCTCGCCTGAAACTTGTCTCAAAAATTTTGTCCATTGCGTTGAGAGACAAACTGACCAGATCCACAAAATTACGGTTCAGAACGTAGAGAGAGGCTCAGAAGTAGTTTCACAGACAGGACAGAGCAGCAAAGCAAAGGAGGGAGAGGAGGAGAAAAGCATCCGCCCTCGACAAGAGCAAGTGGTGAAGTGGGGACAGATGGACCAATGGGCAAACAGACTGATGGACAGACAGACAGACTGATGGACAGACAGACAGTATGATGTCCCCAATTGCTGAGCAAAGAGAGGATTGGAAATACCCTCCATCCGTCCGTCTGTGATCGTTGTGTGCATCATAGATTAAAAACAAACAAATGAGGTACCGACTTCCATTTTGGTTTGTGGTTACATGTAGGTGTAAGAAAGTTTTCTTTGGAAAACTGGGTTACAATGTCAAAATCCAAAATGGCTGCTGCCCATAGACATCCCATTTATGTTTACGTCTGTTTATGTTGCTTTGCTGTGGTAGTTTTTTTTATGCCTCAAATCGTGCACTGTCTAGGACACGGAGTGAGAAATCTTTTTTTTATACCGTCTCTCCTCATGTTTTCTTTCCTTTTCTCATCAAAGCAAAACATTATTCTGAATAAGAATAAAAGGGCAGCGCTAATTAATAGCCGCAGCTTCGTGCACTCCGCCCATCTTTCGGACAACTGTACGTACATGTTCTCGTTGTATCTCGGTGCAATGCCAATAAAGTTTATTCTGATTATTCTGATTCTGATTAATTATATTCATTCAACCTTTATTTAGACAGGTAAATCCCATTGAGCCTCGAGGACTCATTTACAAGAGAGACCTGGGTGAAGGTGACGTGACCCCCTCACATTTAAAAATATAAATTTGACCCCCCCCCCCACACACACACACACACACACACATTTACCATGAAATATTTGTTCATCCAGTGCTGTTTCTGTTGCTACATGAACACATCCATTCCACGTGATTGAGTCCATTCCGGGTTTTCCTGGTTACCTACAACAAGTCACCACATGTTAAGTTTCTCCGAGGTCACGAGGTCACTTGGCAGGACGCTCTTCTCTTCTGGATGGGTGGGTGGAGGGAGGGGAGACACCTCTGTGTTGTGTGCTAGCTTAATGCTACGTTAGTGCCAGCAGTTGTTGACCGGGGTGGGGGGGCTGAGGTTGGGGGCACGTTTAGGTTCATGTTCATCTACTGTAATAAACTTTTGTAAAATACACCAGAATGCAGGAAATGGATCTACTTTATTCAAAATTATCTGGGGGAGGACCCCAGACCCTCACCCAGTGTGTCCCCCCCACATACACACTTTACAAATGATTCTGACACCAGCGCTGCCAACATGTATATAAGTTCCCTTGTGAGCTGGATAACTTGAGACGTGCCATGGACGCTCATTCCAGTCACAAATACTCAGTGTTTGTGAATCAGACTGCGTAGTTTTAAATTGAGTTTTGTAACCTTGGAAAATAAAATTGCGGAGAATTTCTGCTGTGTGCACGTGTATCAATCAATCAATCAACCTTTATTTCTACAAGTAAATCCCATTGAGCCTCGAGGACTCATTTACAAGAGAGACCTGATTTCAACAAAGAAAGATGAAACAATGGACAACAGCAACAACAATAAGCAGTTATAAAAACTCATACTACAGTTTTTTTTGTTTTTTTTTTAACAAATAGGATGGCTAAAAGGAAAAAGGTAACAAAACAAAAAAAACATCTAGATTCCAAGACAAATGTATAAAACTAAAAACAGGAACATGTCAGCATTGGACCCTGCCAGGAGTCCAACAGATTCTTAAAGACACTTAGAGAGGTCAAAGGTCGAGAGCTTCAAATCTTTTTGTAAGATATTCCAGGAAACAGGAGCGGAGTAGGAGAAGGTCCTTTTGTCTAGTTCAGAGCAAGTGGTGAAGTGGGGACAGATGGACCGATGGGCAAACAGACTGATGGACAGACAGTCTGTAGATAGGAATGTGTGCATGTAAAAGAAAAATATTTGTATTTGTAACAAATACTTACACAAGTTATTTTTTTTTTGTTAAGGTCTGTCAATCACTGTCAATCAATCCTGTCAATCACAAATGTAACGATCCAATCAGAGAACAAAAATACTTTGTAACGTGTGTAATTATTTTTTACAAATACAAGTCTTTTTACACACACACACACACACACACACACACACACACACACACACACACACACACACACACACACACACACACACACACACACATTCCTATCTACACATGCTCTAAGCAGAACTTTACAGAGTTAGAAAACTTAATCACAACTAGGCAGTTTGATTTCCCGGCACTAAATTTATTTAATGTGTCAACTTCCCTTTAGGTATGAGAAAGGTCCCAGGCCTTAATAATAAATAATAAATAAAATAATTGTGGTGCCATCTGAGGTTGCCAAAGATTAGTCTATGGTGGCTCCTCCGTTGGTGGTGGATAAAATGTCTCAGGATCCGTCACTCTGCTCTGCCTCAGACAAGATAAATAACCTCGTCTCCACGGTGTAACTCCTACCTACTTGAATACACCAAAACATTTACTTACATTAACGGTTCAGTTCAAACATTCATGTCTACACTAAAAACAATCATCATTCAAATCCCTCATCATTGATGTTCTGCTTGTTTAAAGCAGTGGTCCCTAACACTGGTCCTTGAGGAACACCATCCTGCATGTTTCAGTTGTTTCCTGCTCCAACACGCCTGACTCCATGATTTCTTTACTTCATCAAGTTCTGCAGAAGCCTGTTAATCACTCATTCATTCAAACCAGGTGTGTCGAAGCAGGGAAACAAGTAAGATAAGATAAGCTAGAACTTTACTGATCCTGCAGGAAGTTGTTCCAGAGTTTCAGTACAAAGGAACAGCCACAAGAATCACAAGATCTACAAAATAACAATATAAAAATACCATCATTAAGATCTAAACAGGTCAGACAGAAACATTAAAGAGTTTATTTTGGTGCAGGATTAATTTTATTGTCCTCTGTGTAGAAAGGGGGCGGAGTTTTACAGTTTGAAGGACTTCCTGTGTTGTTCTGTGGAGCACCTCGGTGGTCTCGGTCTACGACTGAAGTCAGAGTCAGAGTTTCTTTATTGTCATTCGCACCTCATGTGGTACATGTGGTGGAGCGAAACTATGTACACAGGGTCCCAGTTACATCCAACAATAAAATGTCTAATAAAAACAGTAATAACATCTAAGATATGAACTAAGAAAAACATCAACTAAAAATACACTAAGCACTCATAACATAAAACATTGAACATCAGCACAAACATGAACATGAGTCTGTGAGCAGATGTGCACGCATGAACACATCAACATTGAAACAGATCAGCAGCAACATGAAACAGATCAGCAGCAACATGAAACAGATCAGCAGCAACATGAAACAGATCAGCAGCAACACGAAATGGTTTTTCACAGTGACTATTCTGGTTAGAGATTCATGAGTCTAACAGCCTCAGGGTAGAAGCTGTTCCTCAGTCTAGTGGTTCTACACTTAATGCTCCTCAACCTCCTTCCTGAGGGGAGCGGGGCAAAAAGTGTGTGTGCTGGGTGAGTGTGGTCCTTCATGATGCAGATGGCCCTCTTCCTGCATCTGGAGGTGTAGATGTCTGTGATGGTGGAGACTGACTCCAACATCTTCTGTGCAGCCTTCACCACTCTCTGCAAAGCTTTTCTTTCTGCAGCTGTGCAGCCTCCATGCCACACGTTGATGCTGGAGCACAGGATGCTCTCCACTGCACACCTGTAGAAGGAGGTGAGGACTGAGCTTCCAGACCAGCTTGTCTCAGCCGTCTGAGGAAGTAGAGTCTCTGATGAGCTTTCTTCATCAGGCTGGTGGTGTTGTTGCTCCAGCTGAGGTCGTTGTTCAGGTGTACACCCAAGTTCTTGTAGCTGGAGACCACTTCCACCACAGATCCTCTTATGTTCAGGGGGGTGTAGAAGTTATTGTTCCTTCTGAAGTCCACAATCATCTCCTTTGTCTTCTTCACATTGATTGATTGAAGGAGCTGCAGTAAGAGTCCAGAGTGTCATGCAGGGGATGTGATGTGTTTTTCAGGATCTGAAGCAGGTTCCTCAGCATCGTCTGCTCAGACACCTCTGTCAGAGACTGCAGGTCCACTCCCAGAACTGAACCAGATCTCTTTATGAGCTTATCAAGTCTGTTGGCATCAGCTTTCTCCACCCTGCTGCTCCAGCACACCACAGAGTAAAAGAAGATGCTGGAGACCACAGAGTGATAGAACATCTGCAGCATGGTCCTGCAGATGTTAAAGGGCCTGAGTCTCCTCAGAAGAAAAAGGCGATTCTGTCCTTTCTTGTAGACGTGTTGGTGTCAGCTGTCCAGTCCAGTTTATCGTCTAGGTGGACCCCCAGGTACTTGTAGCAGTCCACAGTGTCCACCTTAGTACCCTTGATGTTGATAGGGTTGGGGGGGCTGATCTTCCTGTAGTCCACCTGCAGCTCAAGTATCACATGCAGGATGGTGTTCCTCAAGGACAACAGTTGGGAACTACTGGGTTGTATAACCTTTTCATCACCCGAGGTCACAAATCAAAGTCAAAGTTGTAATGTGGTCTTTGCTTGTCTCGGCCAGAACTTCTGATCCGTTCAAGGTCATTTAAGAAAATTTCATACAGGAAATCTAAAAACATTTATTTGAACTTTGATTGTTCCTGCACCACTTTTTAGTTTTTGCTTTAAGTAGAAAAGTTCATCAGTAGGGTTGGTAAGCAGGACCAAAGCTTTTTTTACCCTTTAGTCATCAAACTTCACCGGTGATGACGGCCATGCTGGTTTCTCTGACTGTTCCAGGTTCATCGCCGTATTGATTCCCCTCAACTACAACAGGAAACACGTGGACCTGCGTCAGGCGCTTCTGCTGTCAGCTACCTGGATTCTGGCCTTGGCCGTGGCCTCACCCATCATGTTTGGCATCAACAACGTGCCAGGACGTGACCCCAGCGAGTGCAAACTGGAAAACGATGATTACGTGCTCTACTCGTCCGTGTGCTCCTTCTTCATCCCCTGTCCCATCATGCTGCTGCTGTACTGCGGGATGTTCCGTGGACTGCGCCGCTGGGAGGAGGCGCGCAAAGCCAAGCTGAAGAGCAGCATCCAGGCCTGCCGCAAACTGCAAGAGGCTGCCGCCTCACTGCCGCCTCTTCTGCCCCCGGTTATCGAGCGTGAACTGCCAGATGTACCTGATGAACTGTCCACCGTCCCATCAGCAGAGCGTCCGCTCCACTCGGACAGCAAGGACGGCCCCGTGCCGACGGTGAGCTTCTCAGAGATCAGATTCATCCCCGACCCTCACAGAAGGAAGAGGGCCAAGATCAACAGCAGGGAGAGGAAGGCCATGAAGGTGCTTCCAGTTGTTGTTGGTGAGTTTGTTTCCTGTGTTCAGACAAGAACCAAGACCTGAAACAGACCTTGTGTTGAGTCAAGTCATGCAACTGTTGATCAGTGAAACAGAGAAAGGTCTGAAATCATCAACTGGTCATTTTAGAGACTAGTGGTCCTCAGTCCTGGTCCACGAGGGTCTCTATCCTGCATGTTTTTGATTTTTCTCTGCTTCAACACACCTTCTTCTTCTTCTTCATTTTCTTTCATCTTTTCCCTCCATCTCTCTCTGTCCTCTATGTCCTCTGTCCTCACTCCAACTACCTCCATGTCCTCTCTAACTGTATCCATATGTTTCCTCTTTGTTTTTTTTTCCTGCAGCTGCATTTCTAACATCCTTCTACCAATATATCCACTGTCCCTCCTCTGGACATGTCCAAACCACTGTCCCTCCTCTGGACATGTCCAAACCATCTCAGTGTGTCCTCTCTAAATTTATCTCCCAGTTGTTCAACCTGTGCTGTACCTCTGATGATCTCATTCCTGATCTTCTCCATCCTTCTGTCTCCTGTCTTTTTGTCCATGTCTCTGTCTCCAGACCATACAACATAGCTGGTCTCACCACTGTCTTGTAAATTTTCTTTTGACCTTTGACCTTTGCTGACACCCGTGTCACAAATCACTCCTGAAACTTTTCTCCATCCATCAAGGTTCATGCTCAATAATCCAGGTAGGCAATCCAGCAATGTTCAGTCAGGTCATCTGGACGGTTTCTTTTGTTGTTGAGAGATGTTTCATCCTTCATCTGAAGGACTTCATCAATCTGAGGAGTCACAAACAAACTGTTTCCCCACCAAGCAGTGCACTCCTATAGTGGACCAACCAGATTGTTGGTGATAAGATGGTTTCTGGGGGACGTCCATCACTCCATCCTGCCTGGACTCTCTTCTTCACCTCTTTGCCACACTCCCCATTTTCCTGGACAGTGGACCCCAAGTCCTTGGACACACCTGATCTGAATCAACGGGTGCTGAACAGACTTCTGCAGAACCGGCTGAAGAGCAGGGAGACACCTGTCAACAACCTTTCAGAGGTGTAGAAATAAAAGCAGGACCTGACTTCAGGGTTCACAGTGACTCTCTTCAAGCCCTTGGAGCTGTTTACAGCCTGCTACTGCTCATTTCAGCTGTTGGTCCCCTTCAGCTTTTTCAGCCTCTTTCTGCTTTCAGTTTCTTTTGTGCATTCTCAGCTAGTTCTGTTTTTGTTGCTACTTTTAGATTTTTGTGTCACCTGTTCAAGCTCTCTGCCTGTTTCAGCGCACTGTGCTCAGTTCAGCTCTGTTCAGCTGTTCAAATCAACTCAGCTCAGTGATGAACCTTTTCAGCAGAAATCATCCACACTGCGTCTTCACAGGAAATGGCATGTGTCTAGCTTACAGCTGTTATAGTTTGAATGGGCTGATTGTAATTTAAAAGTTTGTGCTGTAAAATCAAAGACCGAGTCAGTACTAAACTAAAGGATCAGCATCAGGGATTAAACTCATCTCCATCAGGACCTCAGTAATATTTTGACTTCTTCCTGTTCAAGCTTTGAAGCTTGTGTGATAAAAAACAAGACAACAGTCAGTTCTTGCAGCTCAAAGTGCAAGAAGAGTTCTTGTTCTTGCAGCTTCTTTCAGCTTGTTGACTGGCAGGGACACTAAAAGATTAGTTACCTGCACATTTTATCAGCCGGGTACTTCAAAGCATCTAAAGAACCATGTAGTGGAATTTCAAGCAGGTTTTTTTTTAAATATCCCTGCCAGTCAAAATGGTAGAGCTGCAGCCTCTCAATGAGTAGGTTGCTGGTTCAAATCCTGGCCGGGGGTGTTTCTGGGTGGAGTTTGCTTGTTCTCTCTGTGTTTCCTCCCACAGACCAAAAACATGCATGTTAGACTGATTGGTAACTCTGAATTGTCCCTAGGTGAGAGAGAGTGGTTGTTTGTCTCGTTTGTCTCTATGTGTCCCTGTGATGGACTGGAGACCTGTCCAGGTGTCCCTGTGATGGACTGGAGACCTGTCCAGGTGTCCCTGTGATGGACTGGAGACCTGTCCAGGTGTCCCTGTGATGGACTGGAGAC